AAATGGACACAGTGAAACAGAGAAATGCTTAGTTTTTTTTCGGGGAACCTGGAGACAGTGGCCGCCAGTCGGCCATCCCTGCTGCACAGCGTATACTGTACAAACGTTCTACTTTTTTTTTACTCTAGGTTACAGCCTACCTGCACAAGGACTACAACAACTTGTGGTTGGTTCACCGGCACATCGATACAAACTGTAAGGAAGCCATCCAAACTGTAGCTGTATCTTTCAATCAAAGCATTTATTACATTTTTAATCGTGTTTTAGCTCAGTCCGAGGCCCCTGAATTGGTTCGCCATGGTGACATCATCAGATTGGAGCACAAAGAGTCAGTGCTTAAGATGGAAATTGCTTTGTATCAATTGCTTCAAATAAGTCAATAAAACTAATACATGGTTTCCCTGGTTTTCTCAGAACAACTCGAAACCTTCACAGTCATCTCCACGAGGCCCCACTGACCGGCAAGCACTTCCAAGTTACGGGGTATGGCATTGTGAGTAGATAACATACCGAAAATATTCACATACATGCATTACATGGGGAATCTCCAAATCGAAATACAATTTATTCTGTTGTGGTGATTGAGTTTCATGTTCTAATTTCAAAATAACTCACCATATTCAGCGACTGTTTTCCTGCTGTCATTATAGGTTTTATTGTTATAGTGGTTCACTACTTGGGAATTCTCCTTTTTGCCAAAAAGCTCACCATTTTGTCGCTTTTGTGGTCTTTGCAAAACTCGCTAAGATGGTTCAACGAGAGTGTTAAGGCCTAATATGAAAGTTGTACTTTGTCGACATCATTTTTAATGATAGAGCAATATATATTTTTTGTTGGTGTTGTCGTTTATTTGTTTTTTCCGTGGCAGAGACTCATATAGATCAGTAGTAGGCAAGGAGGCCGATAACCGATATTAAGAGCCAAGATTAACTAGCAGTTGTAGTGAAAATGTTGATGTCAAAATTAAAAAACAAAATAATCCAACTCTTAACTCTGTTGAAATGCCATTAAGCATTGTTGTTCAAATAACTTCAAATTTGCAGCACGATGAAGGTTTTTCTGTTAATTTTACATATGTTGAGAATAGATAGCTTTGCTTTGGAAGAAAAAAAGTGCAGTAAGTGCAGTAAAGTCCCAGGATCAACAGCATGTTGGAAGTTAAATAAAAACCCAAACAAGTAAATAGCTCCCTAAAGTTTTTAACGGTCAAAGTTTTCCAAAATTTCAATAACTAAAATGCGAAAAGCTCCCTTATTTTCGTTTGATCATTCAAACGATAACGAAAAGTGCAGGGAGTTGCCAGTGTTAGCTGCATCTCTTATAAAGTTGTATGTGTGAACATTTTAATCAAGAAACACTGTAGTTCCCTGAAGTTAATCTATTTTTAAATTGATCCCGTCTGCCTTTAGATTTTTAAAATCATTGATCGTCTACCCGGCCAAGATGCCTCTCTATAATGTGGCATCTTGGTACAACGGTGACTGATGTTGAAGTGAGAGGAGGTGCTTCTATAAGACAGGCCGAAAACCCTGTCAAGGACAAAAGTAATGCTCTGCTGCCATCTTGTGGCATCTATAAGCAATTATAATTTTTTTGAGGTGAGAGGGGGAGGTCAATTACTGGTGTTTATTGTGTTTGTTATTCACGACAGGGCTCTGTCTCCATCCCACACCTTATTTTCAATCTTTATGTTGTCTCTCATTTTATTGCTCATGTTCTTCTGAGCATCCAGACCCAAGTTCCTATTCTCTGACGTTACTATGTACCGACACAGAAACAATTCTGTCCTTGTATGTCTGAAATAATTGCAAATGCAACTGGGGACCTGTCTGTCCATAGAATCATACCGGTGACAGCAATGACCTCTGGCAAGTGGAGGTGTGCGGCGGTCGCAAAGGTGACCCCGTGAAGGTGCTACGCAGCAAAGTCCGCTTTCTGCACAAAGCAAACGGTTGTGTGCTTTTTTCTTCTGGGAAAACCCTCCCCAAGTGGTAAGGATGAGCTCATCCGCTTTGGACCATCGAGTAATTCCACTTTGTTCAAGCTGGCCTCCTGTTTGTGTTCAGGGGCTGGGAACAAGTGGAGGTCACCTGTAGTCCTTACTTGAAGGTGACTCCCAGCTCTCAGTGGAACATTGAAGATCACGTCAATGCCAAATGTATGAGCCGCTTCTCCATTTGTTCTTTCTTTTTCAAGTCAGTCCTTCACCGTTGTTGTTTTCTTCTTCTGCTCTTGTCTTGACAGTGCCCAACATCAGTCTGTCAGTGCTGAAGCCTCATTTTATCGAGATCCTAATAGAGTCTCACATTGTAATGATAAGAGTAAGTGAAAAAATAAATGTATCTATCCTGTAGTTCTCTGCAAATGTAAAGATTCTTAATGTTCCTATTATTATATTATGCTTATTTTTAATTAGGGTAACAGTGGTTTGAAGCCCAAAGACAATGAGGTGAACTCCAAACCCTGGCACTGGCCCATCAACTACCAGGTGAGCTGTGATGAAAGCGAGTGACTTGCAAAACCAATTTCAAGTAAACGGTGCTTGTCTCTCGTGAAGGGACTGAGATTCTCAGGAGTGAATGAAACAGAGTATCGCGTGTACTTACTTGGCAACCCTGTGAGTATTCGGCTTGACTTCTCTCATCCATTGCGGGGTGCGCGTCACCAGCACACATTAATATGCTTGTGGTCCAATTTATTTTTAGGTGGTCTGGTGGCTAAATCTGGCGAGTTTGGCATTATATCTGATACTGGTAGCAGTCGCTTCAGTTGCCTTCCAAAGAGGCATCTCAGTGAGCCAAAGGAGAAAAGGTAGGATTAATTTGGCAGTGGTACTCAGGGGAATTGCTTTTGCTCAAATTCATTAATGCACCTTGGGAATAAACCAGTCCACTTTTAGACCTGGAATGTGTAAAAACTCAGCCTCATGGTGAGCATTAGTGTAGCTCACCCAAATACATGCATACATAGATATGTGTGGAAAAATATATACACGTGAAGATGATTATACCTTGAGTGACAAAAGTCCCGGTGTAGCCCTAGTTCTGTGCAAATAATGATGTCAGTTAAAAATGTCAATTTTCTGGCTTTCAGGTCATTGTTTTGTGCTCACAAGGGGAGGGGGCCTCCTTTTCCTTGGCTGGCTACTTCACTACGTACCTTTCTACACCATGGGCCGGGTCCTCTACTACCATCACTACTTTCCTGCAATGCTCTTTAACAGCATGCTGACAGGTACCACGACCCATTCCGATTGTGCTCAAGAGGATACAAAAATGGACAAATGTTTGCTGATCACAGGAATTACATTGGATTTCCTGTTGAACATGGCCGACCTTCTGCTCCAGCCACCGTATTGTGACTGGCTGCAGAGACTTGCTAAGGCGCTACTTCTGCTAATTGTTCTTTACAGGTGAGACCAAATATATTTTCGTGTTGCACCATTTGTGCACAAGGGCCACGTTTAATTTTTAAAATGGATGGCGCAGCCGGGTCATTCTTTGAAGGGGAAATAAATCATGTTAAAAATGCGCCTGTAAAAATAGCTTATTCTAATTACTAAATTAGAATTCATTTTCATATTAGATTTTATTTATAAGTGTATACATAATTTTATTAAAAGAAAAAATATTCAATTTAATTTGCCAGTTGTTGAATTAAATGATTTTTAAAAAGTTAAATGAATGTGTAATTTTTTCCATTTCATTTACAATACATCAGATGATTGAGATTTTTCTTATTGTTTTAGTTTTATTGATTATGAGCTTAGAAAGTGATATGAAACATGTAAAAGGGTTTCTTTGGCCTATGAAATAATTGTCATGTGAAATATTGTTATGAATTACTAATTGACCAATTATTTATAAATAAAACATTGTAAAACGTGTTTTATTTCTTCATCAAGAATTTAAAATTGAATAAATTAATACAAAATAAATTACATTGAATAAACACATTACAATTAACCATTCTGAGGAAAAACTTTTAAATGAATGCAACAGGTATTACAGCCATTGATGATAATAATAATAATAATTAGTGGTCGGGATTAAAGATTGGTGTGGTTCGCAGGCCATGCTTTTCCCCTCCCCTGCTTTGAAACATTAATATATGTTTAGCTATTTTTCATGTATCTTGTGTAATGTTTCTCTTTGTCAGTTTCTATCTGTTCCACCCACTCACCTATGGCATGACGGGGCCTCTGGCACACGAGCCGAGCAGCTCAATGGCCGGACTGAAGTGGGTGGAGTCCTGGGAGTTCTAACAAGTTTTCAGTAAACATGACACTTAATTTATAAAACGAACCCTTTTTTTTATTTCACAGTCTTACAGTGTTAATGAAAATGTTTTGTCATAGTTACTGTAGCTGGTAAGGATTTATTTGAGTTTACTGTTTTAAGATGGAGGACTTGAGGCCATACGTAATTAGCGGCAACCTGTCACGCGTTGCGTCATAATTGTACTGGATGTTACAAGGAGGATCTTTAAGTGCCTCAAAAAAATGTGGAAATGTGTCAATAATTTCTTTGGTAGTTAGTTGGAGACCATTTATTTTTATTGTTATTTAGATCTGGATTTTATTGTAATAAAGCTTTTTTATGGCGTCTATGCATATATTATAGTCAATGTTAATAAACTATCATATTCTTTTAGCCTGTGTGTTCCAGAAATTCAATTATCATGATTCCCAGCCATTTTCTGATTAGAGTCGCAGCTAAACTAGAGCCTATTCCAAATGACGATGAGCCAGACCTGGGGTACACTCTGGATTTATAGCCAACCAATTCAGGTCATATGTAGACAAAACAACCGTTCACGCTCCCATTTATAACTGGATGTTTTAAAGTGCTCACAATCACTCCTATTGTTTGGTCGAACCCTAGAGGCAGATAAGGGAAATTGCACCATGAACGTTACTTAGAAAACACCTGCTGCTATTGGTTGACTTCAGTCACGTGTTCTTTTCGAAGATGGCGTCTCCAAATGGAGGTAAATTCTAATTCTTTACTAAGACATTCAGTGTCTGTGTTTGTATTTCGGTATTGTTTCGTCCTAAAACTCATCCAGGACCTCACTCGAACGTCATAATGGGTCAAAGTCAACATGTTCGTTGTGTGTGTCTGCTGATCGAATTTCTGTTTTACGCAAACCATTCAAGTAGACTTCGGTGTTTGTTTTGGTCGAATGTACGTTCAGCAGCAACAGTGGACATTTGGCACATGCAAACGGCTAAATGTCCTTGTTGCTTAACTGCTAAAAATGTACGTTTCAGGTGGTGACATACTGCGGTTAAGTCACTTACATGATCGTCTCAGGGCATGCGTACACTTGTGTCCATTTTCGACATATATGTTCGGGTTATCAATGATATTGGATCTGAACGACTTGTGTTGGTGTGTAGTGTTACATTCTTGTAGGAATGCTGAAAGCATTAACGCATATTGCCACCCTCCTAAAATCATGTTCCAAGTCATTTTTTAAGAAAACGTAAAAAACTGAAACGAAATCTAATGAAATTAAAGTCATTAATCATTTAATTTCAGAGGTAGTAATGAATAATCTCTTTCACTAAATGTATCTGATTTTAGCAGAAGTGGCCAGCATCCTGAGGAAATGTTTTAGGCAAAACTGTTTTTTTTTTTCCCCTGCTGAGGGGGCGGGGTCAAAATATGATGTGGGTCATTATTTTTAAAGACTGACGATGTGTTACTCATTCTTTGTTGGCATTATACATACATAGGTTACCAATTTCTCACATGTTTGCAAAGGCACAAGGAGTGTAAGCGCCTTGCACTCTAGCCACATGCCCACTCTGTAAACAAACACAGTGCAGCCCAGCTTATGGCTATCAGACCACATGGCTAGTGATGTTTCTTGGGCAGATTTGTAAACTTTTTAATTCATTATAAATGGCATGAAAATTTGAATGCCAGTGCAGTATGAATACAAAAGTAGCACTATACCAACGAAATGGGTTTGTTTGCTTGCTTAAATTGGACAAAAGACGTGATCTGAGTTTTTACTCACAGCAATTGACAAAGCAGTCTTCTTAAACTACTACCACAGAAACAATTAAATGTTTCTGACTTTTTAATGGAAACACCATACCCAGTTAATACCCATGCAGGATTGAAAAAACGTGAACCCCCAAGATAATAATAATTTCTCTCAGAGCTAAACAGAGTCTGGAGACAACCAATCTGGAGTCCACTCAATTTGGATCTATTGGAAATGTTGGTGAAAGCTGTCTCACCTTATAAAAAACCCACACACCAGTTTAGATTTTTTTTTAAATTAATATTCATAAGACGCATTGCCTGATTTTAAACCATACCACGTACAACAACACTCAGAAGTTAACTTGCACGAAGCTAGAAATGATCAAGCCTTGATGTTCACCAATCCATGGTAAGGCAAATTGTTGACACATGGAGAAATTTTAGCATGGTTACTGTGTCTTCATACTGTTTTTCTTGTCTTGATAGCTGAAGATTTTGACAACTCTTTGCTCAGTTATGAGAAGCTGGACAGAGCATCGCCCGACCTTTGGCCTGAGCAGCGTAAGGCCTCATTTTCTTTTCTCTTCTTTTACGTCGTCTTTCGTTGGTTTAGTTTTCAATCCAAGTCCTCTTTTTTTCGCAGTGCCCGGAGTTGTTGAATTTGCTGCGTCTTGTAAAAATGTGAGTTTAATCTCCCTTTAGCTCCTCTGATCTTTTGAATGGTTCTTCTAATCAAATGATTGTTTGTGACTCCGCAGCCCATCACAAATTCACCACCCAAGTGGATGGCTGAGCTCGAGATCGAAGACATCGAGATGTTAAAAGGTAACACACCGAGCATTGCAAAAGGAAATTGTGGTAATGTTGGGAATCTATAAACTGTAAAATTGTGCAGTACATGCCATCAAAGGGTGTATTTTTTTTAGGAACCAATGGTAACCTGTTAAAGAGGGAGATTGAACCAGTTCAAAGAACCGTTTGTTGTGACTCCACATTTGCACTGGCTTCCATATCGAAACAAGGAGGAAGGATCACCCATACAAAATACTTTAAAAAAACTTTTGAAATAAAAAACGGATGGTAAAAAAACATTGTAAAAAACACTTTCCATTTTTGTGGAAACATTGTTTAAGGATTAATCATCCATTTATTAATGACGACAGGATATTAATACAGTTTGAAAAGCTCTGTAGTTCATCATTTGATATACTGTAGATACAGGTTACATAATTGTCATGAGGATATTCATGGCCCGAGTCAAAATTGATCTGGAAAATTTTATGTGTGCATGGAAAATGAACGGTATGTAAGGATTTAATGTATTTCTTCCCCTCACCCGCACCCCTTTTAGAGTTGGGTAGTTTGACAACAGCCAATCTCATGGAGAAAGTCAAAGGCCTTCAGAACCTCGGTTACCAGTTGGGCTTAGAAGAATGTGAGTACCACTAGCAACTCAACGCTTTGCAAAAATAATTTTCATAACAGTGGCTTTCAGGCAAGTATAAAAACATGTCTAAAGTTCAATCTTTTCTGTTAAACTTGAGTTAAAAGGTCTCTCTCTCACACACACACACACACACACACACACACACGCACACACACACACACACACACACACACACACACACACACACAAAAGGTCTTTTTCGGCCACTAGATGGTGCCCGTTGCCTTTAAATTGCAGACAATCGGCACAGCATGATCCTCGGTACAAATATGTATTTGCAATGCGTCAAAATCACAGATTTAGGTCAATCTTGTTACAGCGCGAAAGGTTATAGTAACACGGGCATGACTATGAGTGCTGATAATAAAACAAGTGCTGGATGCATGTGATGCATGATAAATCGAGTTTTTAATCTTTTCCCCGTTTACTGCCTCCATTGTCATAATCCCGCTGGAGTGTGGATTAGAGAGCTATAGCTAAGTGCTCAAATTTTCTGAAGAGAAAATGGCTGTTTATTTTTGTCATGAAATAACACACAAGTTGAGGCCGGTGACAGAGACCGACTTGTTCATCGGGTGATATTTTTCCATTTTCAGAACATCGGTTTCATTCAAACAAGTTCTTGGACAAAGTGGATGTAAAATGTCAACATATCCCTAGTTAAATGTCTGGTTTTTTTTGTTTGTTTGCTTTTTTTTTGTGATCGTGGATAGTCCCACGATGACTATTTAACAGCATTCTTCTGAATGATATGAATCTGAATCTGAAATTTAGAAGCCATTTTTCCTTTAATAGCGACTTTAGGTCACATTACATCATCCTCAGATGTTATGCAAATGTAACAGACAGTGAACCACCGCAATTGACCTGAAGCAAACAGCAAACATTTGCATATAGCGGATTCCCCTTCCCCAAATTGTTTAGAATTGCCTCTATTAATTGTGTAGATCCCAAACTATAATCTCAAAAATCTTAATATCATTTTATACTCACCAAACATTTCCCGCTTAAAATACATAATTTACACCTTCCATAGAGAATGTCTGTTATAGTTTCTTTGCACGCCTGGATGATATTGCCCTCCAGTGAGACGCTGCTCTTCTTGAAGTTGGTAATCCTTACAACCAAATACTTGCTCTGTGCTTATTTTGCATCGTACTTGCACAACTGCAAAAGTTAGCGTCTACGATCTACTTTGTCACTATTTTGTTCTCCTTTATGTACTGTACAGTATTCTCTCTCAAGCCATCATAGCGGGTGACTGTGACATTTTTTTTTCCTTCCTTTGAACATATCCAGGTTTACCTTCTCTGAGTGCATCGTAATATTCTGTGGGGTTGGGCTGTTTGCCAAAACCTCAAGAGAAGCAAAATGGGCAGCATATAAAGATGTTAGTCTCTCAGTTAGCATCACTTCAACATGATTCCTTGACACCACTACTACTTTCACTACAAGCACACCAACTGGTGTTTTTTGTGCTCTTTTTGAGAAAAGGTTTCACTGCAAAAAAACAAAACAAATACAGCAATCCCTCGTTTCTTGCGGTTAATGGAGATCCAAACCACCCGCGATAAACGAAAATCCACGAAGTAGCGACCAATTAACAAACAGGTTAAAAAAAAAAAAAAAAAAAACAATTCTCTCCGCAAACGGTCCGCGAGAAGCTGCAAAACAGCGAGTCACATAGAGCAACATATACAGTACTGTACTCCATGTATACTAAAAAATATTTATTTTTTTTTTTATGTTTGAAAGAATCCTCGATGCACTGAACCCGCGATAAACGAACCGCGAAGTAGCGAGGGATCACTGTACAGACACCAGTAAGTTAGTTTGTGATCACGAATATCTTTAACAATTAAAGGTTTATTGTTCTACTGATAATCCCGTCAATGAATCGCTTAATCTTATAAAATAATTGTTAATTATTTCACCACAAAATGTGCGTATGAGGCGTAGGTTTTATTGTCGTCTTGGGGTCTGCCTCCTTATGCTCCACATAATAATCTCTGTGACTTTGAATGTATGTGTCTTTAAAAGTGGGGCCTGGCCTGGTTTGTGACGAGGGAGTCAGAGAATGAGAGTGTTGAGTTGGCTGTTGTTATCTCATTTTAGCGGCCGACGGCGGATAAAATGGGTCTTGACCCTAACCCTTACCCTAACGCTAACCCTTCAATGACACATGACGATTGTGTCATTGAAGCAATATTTTCTCGAAAAAGCTGAATATGGATTGCACACCTTTTGTTTCCTGCTACTAGTCCTACTACGAACCTGAAGGAGCAAGTAATCTAGTTGGTATAAAGATGTGGGTTGTCACAGGTGGTGGACTGCAAGATTTGCAATCCTGTTATGTTGCCTTGCTTGACAGGACACGATGATGGTTATTATTAGTGTCGGAGCTGCCCCGTAATGGGGGGCCTGTTTAAGGCTCTCTGGTTTAATTTTCTCCTTTTCCTGGCTGTCAGGGGAGAGCTTGTAAATCTCAGCTACTTTTTCATCACGTTTGCGGTCTTGCTCAGGACCCATAAACGAGACTCGGTCGAGGGCGAGGGAGCAGGATTTACTGCCCCTCCCCCACGGGCATGTGGACCATTAAAAAAGGAGGCTGCTTAATGGGCAGGACACAATCAACTAGTGAAAACTCACCCAGCCTGCAGTAAGAAAAGGCAACCCGAGCCAGTCCTTTAATAAAACACATAAAAACCATTCCCTTGAGCTTACGAAATAGCAATTGAGCCGATGTTGATTTTCTTTGCTGTACACCCATCACGCGCTCATGTTAATTCATCAGCTCTCATGCACTGGGAGGATGGAGCACATCCTTAGTCACCCCCGACCGCCCACCTCCACCAGTGCCTCCAACAACGGCCGCGTGACGCTGGCCTAGTCTATTCCCATTGGGGCTTGACGCGTGCCTCTTCCTCGGGCCCAGCTGTTACGCCTCCGTGTGATGAATGCCTCTGTCGCGGGCCGCTGAGTGTGGGCAGCGGGCCCCGCGTCTCCGGGGAAAGCCCAGTGCTGTGGTAAGTGCTGTTATTGGAGGTAATTGAAAGCCGAGTGTTCCTTTGGGAGGCTGTGAAGGGCCCCTGCTTATGATTTTGCCGAGGTGGCGACGGTGGTAGTCTATCCTGCTCGTGTGCTCGAGGGTACCGCTGAACACTTGCACTGGTAAACATGCTTTTAATTAAAAGTATCTCGACTTGGCTCTTCTCATTAACTGACATTACTTTTCATTTGTGTCTAGTTGCACACTTTCTATTATAGGCTGGCTGCGTCACGAGGGCCTTCAGTATCACCCCTAAAGAATACTAATAGACTCACCTGTTGACTGCTTTCAACCAACCAGTAAATAAACTTGCAAGCACATTTTGAGTGAGTCTGAAGAATGAATTGGCAGAGCAGATGTCTATGAGTGCAACAAGAAGCGTGCCAGGGTGCAAAAGTACTTTCGGATCTTTTGTGACATCTCCGGTTTGTCACAACAATAAATAGAGGGCCAGTGTGGGGCCCTTTTTGGAGTTGTCCCAACTTCAAGAGTAGGAAATATGGGCTCTGATATTTATCCAAAGATTATATATATATATATATATATATATATATATATATATAT